CTTCAGTTTTTGGCTGATTTGATACTGGCAAGGTCATGTGCCTCTGGCTCCAGATTTTCTCAGTTTCTGTGCCTTGTGGCACAATCCTGTCTCTATGGTCGGTGAGCGAGCTAGGAGTAATAATCTTCAGTACTCGGGCTACACACACCTAGGGTTTCCTTCCCTAGGTGCCCTGTAAAGTACTGCCCTTGGGGCTTGGGGCCACTTTCCACAAGTCGCCTTGGGGGTCTACCTCCGCTGTGTCTTCTACTGCTTGGTGATTGACTGCCCTTGGAGTCAGCTGGGGTTTTTGTTTACCCAATTTGCCTCAGGGTAGGGGTAGTTTTTGTCACTGGTTGAGGCGCAGGGTACAATGCAGCTAGTTGTAACCTTTCATAGCGGCCAGCTCTGTACCGCCTGGGCACGTTGTCCTCTTGTGGGGTTTTCTTTTTTGTTTTGTTTTCTCTGTCTGGTGGAGGGTCTGCCTCTTGTTTGGTTATACCCTCTTGTTCTTGGTGGCTCTCCGCTTGGCCCATGAGAGTGTACAAGTCCCGGGGGAGCAGCTTGTAGCAGTTTACTTCGTAGTTTTCGGCGCCAGTTAGCTGTACCCTGCCTGGGCTTCTCTTAACGGACTTCCATGACTAAGGGCTCTGAGAATCCTCGCAGGGGCTCTGTGGTCCGATGGATGCGACCCCTGAATCCCCTCTCACCTTGTGCGAGTCGGATGGTTGCTGTCCCCTTGTCTCTGGGTGATGGTCACTGGTTCTGCCTCCGCCAAGCTGCCTGTCAGGTCAGTGATTCTATTGACCCGGAGTAGTGTGACATTTCTTGTTTGTACATTTTCCAGTTCACCCTAGCTTCTCATCATGATACGAGGGTGCAGGCAGCTGCGGCATTGCATGCTAGGTTATGTTGCTGCAACGCGATAGGTTCCTAGCTTCCCCGGATTCCCTGAGACTGCCCCGTTGTGGTTAGAAGGACTCGGACTTTGGGGTGGGAGTCGTTTCGCCTTTGTTTCTTTCCACCCCTTCTTGTCCTTCCCCTTCAGTTGTTCATCCAGCTCCTCTCCCCTTGCTTCCGACTCTGAAATGTCTGAGGGTTTCAGAGTTGGGGCAGGGTTTATTTGGTGTTGAGACCTCGGGCAGTCTTGGGGAAGTCACCTTCCGGGGTGGTGGTGGAAGCATTCGAGCCTGGTCCTTCAGCCGGAGCCTCTGGGTCTGATCAATGGGGCCCCCTTCATTTCTGCTTTTTTGGCTGCGGCTGCCTTTTCTTTAGAGGCAGGGGGTTTGGAGGACAACTTGGCCCTGGGTCCTCTGGGTGAGGTTGCTGGGGCGGAGGAGGGGTTGACATAGGGACCCTGGGCCCCATTGGTCCCCACCTGGGTTTTTGTACCCTCGAAGTGTGGCTTGGTGTTACAAGGAGAGGGGTTCTCTTTTGCTCCCTCCTTGTACAAGTTGGATTTGGCATCTACCCCTCGTGGGTTCGGTTCCGTGATCCCGTCGGTTCTTTGGTTCTGTCCTTCAGGAGGTTTTCGGCTTCCCGCATCCTGTCCTATGTGGTGTGGGACGCCCTTGCGGCTTACCTCCTGCATGAACCGGATTATGCTTTCGTAATGGTTCCACATTCCTTCGTGTATGGATCTTCGTGTCCTTACTGGGTTTGTTATAAAGTCCGGAGTCATCCTGGTTAGCAGACTGCCCTCTCTCCTCTTGGAGGCTTGGCATACATTCTGTTGATTCCGCACGCTTCAGTGGTGGGAGGCTGAGATGGTGTTGCAGGTTTTCCTGGGGGTAAATTTGAGCATCTCAATGCATGCTTATTCGGCCCTTCCCTTTCACGGGATGTTGGTGTGATGCAGCTTCATGTGCAGGTTCCTTCCCTTTCAGCTGCATTGGTCATAGAGGATTTGTGCACGTTTGGCTTGTTGGCTTTGGCCCTGCGTTGTTTCTTCCTCCTTGAGCTGTCCTCGGACTGGTTAGAGGTGGATGTGGAGGCTCTTGGGGATGCCTCTGGGTCTGGTGCATTGAACTCGGCGGCGCATGTGTCATCTGCATTGTTGAGGCTGTTTGCGCCGCTCCTGAGGGAAGCGGTTTTTGCTTCTCGACTCACTTGTTGGCAGGCGGTACTCTTTTCCTTGGAATCCAAGGCTCGGGGTTCTTCCCATCATGGTAGGCTAGTGGTGCCAAATTCGGCACCGCCCTAGACTTTGGTACCGTCTGTTTTGGTTTGAATCTGGCTCCTCGCGTTTTCACACACCTTCCTCGGGTCGTGGTGGCCCACTTGCATCTGTTAGGTGTTCGGGTTCTGGCTTACCTCGCCGACTGGCTGGTATTGGCTCCCAGCCAGTCCGTGTGTCTGCTCGCCATGTATTTGGTTCTTTCCCAGTGCACTGGGTTCGTGTTCCTGGTGAGCTGGTGGAAGTCTCATCTGGTTCCCTCTCAGGTCTGGTCTTGGTTGGGTCTTGTGTGGGACACTCGGACCGCTTCCTTGTCTTTCCCTCCTGCAGCTTTGGTTTGGCTGCATTCCCGCCTTCATCTGTTTTTGAGGGGTTCTTGGGTCATGTGGCGGTTGCACGAGGGTTGTGCGGGAGCCTGAACTTGCTGTTTCCTTCGGGGACGTTCCTTTCGCCTCTTTTTCCGACCGATGGGTTCGACCTCCAAAGGCTTTGCGTCGATTGCTGCATCGCCGGCTTCCTCTTCGGGTTTTTTGAGGTTCAGTGTCTAGGCGAATACCCTCGCCCCTCGCTCAATGTGTTCACAGATGCGTCGTCTCTGGTCTGGGGCTTTGTGACCAGTGCTCACCAGGCCGGCCAGAGACGGTCAAGTCCGTCCTGCCATTGGGCTCACAGCACGGAGTGGGAGTTTGCGGCTGTGTTGATGTTGCCCTGGAGGATTCGGGTTGCTCACGGATCGACTATCTGGCTCCATTCGGACTGCTCCCTGGTGGTTCATTGCCTGTACCGCTGGGGTTTGATGCAGTCCTTGGCTTTTTAGAGCTGGTCACTTTGGATAACTCATCTGCTGAGTTCTCAGGGTTTGCTCTCCTGGTGGTTCACGTTCAGGGGGTGTCCAATGTCCTGGCGAATGGCCTGTCCCAGTTCGTTCCCCTTCCACGGAATGGACGGTTGACGCCGACTCGTTCAGTTGGCTCTGCCGGACATTCAGGCCTCTGGAAGTGGTTCTCTTTGCATCGACGTAGTCAAGGCATCTCCCAATATACATGGTGCCCTTCCCCAGCTGCAAGGCCATTGGGGTCGTTGCCTTCAGGCAGGACTGGGCAAGGTAGGGTTACCTGTACCTATTTCCCCCCGGTTCAGCTGTTGCTCCAGTTCCTCGCTCGCTTGGAGACTTACCAGGGAAGAGTTGTCATTCTGGTTTCTTGGTGGCTGGCCCAGCCTTGGTTTCAGGCGCTGCTTGCTCAGCGTTTGGACCACAGGGTCTTCCCGCATCTCCGCTTCTTTCAGCAGATCGGTCCAGCCCAGTATGAGGCTAGTTCATTTTTCTCCTTGAGTCTTTGCGTCTGGAGTTTCTGACTCGTGTCTATCATCATTTGTATGGAGCGCAAGTGGCTTCATTGTTGGTCTTCCACCTGCATGCTTCGTTTTGGCGGCAGTATGAAATTTTCTGGCGATCCTTCCTGTTTTTTTATCACTGCGTAGGAGTACTTTGGTCTCTGATAGAGTTGTCTTATCCTTCCTTTCGTAGTTGTTCCAGGATCATCATCTTATGCCGAATACTGTCGCCTTGTATCGTGCGCTGCTGGCAGAGCCACTGCAGCTTGCTTTTGGTAATGATGTTCCTTCTGCTCCATTCCTCACTCTGTCTCTTGCATTGTTGGCCTCTGACCTGCTTATGCGTCGTCTGAGCCGTCATGGTCGGGGTGCTCTCTCTTCTCAGTTTGTCGTGGCTCCTTCGGTTCAGGATTGCTTTTCTAGGGCTCTTTCCCTGTTGGCATTGGGGTTCTGGGGGTCAAGTCGGGGAGCTTGATGCTCTCCTCCGCACAGGAGTTTCTGCTCTTTTGGTTCTGGTGGTAGTTTTGTTCATTTGCAGCCATCTCCTCCTTTTCTGGCGACGTATGAGTCTGCTGCTTTCCGGGGGGGGGCCTTTGGGTTGTTGATGCTTGGTTGGTCAGACCGGGGGTGCATCATGTGTTGTATCCGGTTGTGGCTCTCCGCCGTTATCTGTGCACCATGGCTTCCGTGGTTAGGGACATGCTTTGGGTTGTCCCGGTTTCCCTTCCTTCCTGTTCCTGGATTTGGGTACCCCGGGTCGTCCGCAGGATCCTTCGGTTTTGCCATTTGTCTTCATTTTGAGTTTCGGGCGTGTGGCATCCGCCTCCTGGGTGCTTTCCTTGTTTTCCTTATCTTTGGTGAGGTAGCTCAGGGAAGCCGTCAGGGCTTCCCCAGAAAACTAGTGTTGAATGTAAAGTAACGCCATGTTCTGGGCGAGACCCGGAGGCTCCCTGACACCCTCCCTCCCTCTGGTCGGTGCTGTTTTCGCGTATTTTGACATCCAGCTTAAGAACTGAAGAGTGGCGAGGGTCTGGGGCTTTGGATGGTTGTGCAGACAGTGGCGTGGCAACGTGATGTCATGCTCGTTTACTAATTTTCGTTTTGGGAGTTCTGTCCACTCGCTCGGCTTTTGGTAGCAATATTTTCACCAGAATAATGGTTTGTTTTGGGGCGCCTACCTTTCTGGGTGCCTGACCCGGTCAATGGCAGACATAGAATGCTCCCAACCACATGGGGGTTTCTATAGGCCATTGCTCCTCGTGCCTCTCTGAGGGGGGCCAGGTTCTGGCTCGCGGTCCCTGGTAGGCAAGAACTCCATGCACATTCACTGATGCCAGAAAGCTAATATATCCATATCAGCTTGGATAGCACCGGGGAGCCTCCGGGTCTCACCCAGAAAATGGCGTTTCATTACATTCAATGCTGGTTTTTTGAGAGGGGGAATTAATTTCTTATTTGCAGATATAATCTGAAGAGGTGTTGACTCTACATTTTTCTTTTTTCTTTATAGTTAAAATTGCTGTTTGATGCGAAGTTAAGCTGTTGCAGCCAGAGGAAGTAAATAATTATGAAAAGAAAAAGTCAAGCCCAGAATGCTCTTTAGCAACCAGAGGAAGACTGTTTAAATAACGGTTCATACTACTGTAATATCTCAAGCGCACTCACATAGAAACTGTGAAATGTGATATTTATTCATATTTATTTGGCAGTGTACTAATGAAACTGTCGATGAGACAATTTTTATTTAAATAAATAAATAATATATATATATATATATATATATATATATATATATATATATATATATATATATATGTAATTTATTTGAATAACTTCAGGAGATTTTTGTCCTTTATATGTGAGCAAAAGCAAGATACTATGTAAAGCTTGAGTATCACTGACTGCATACTCTAATTAAGCAAAAAATCTCTGCAGCTTATTCATGAAATGGCAATAAAAGGGCTTAAGACAAGCTTCAGCTAGTGATGGGGGTTGTCAAGTGATGATTCACAATCCATCGAAAGATCCTTATATCAGGTGTGACTTATGGGTGCATGTAGAATACAATGTATATAATGTTTTTTGTTAGCGATTTTATTAGCTTACAGCAATTTGTGTATATAATAATTGTATATAATCTGTGATTGTTGAGTCATTGATTTTATTGTAGTACTTGAAAGTAGCAAAAATACATTAATTTGATAAAAATTTGTGCTTGTATTATATGCTACAAATTATTTGTAGAAAGACAACTATGCCATGGAGATTATATTTTCATGAAGTTTTATTTTGCAATCTCCAGCTTTAAATAATAATGACAAAACAAACCCCCTATTCCATTGAAAGTGAGGAAGGACTTGTCACAGAAGTGACTGCGCGGTGGATGTTACAGTCAAGATCATTCCAGACCCAGTCATCAGGAGTCGTCATCACTGTTGCCCATCATTATTTTCTCTCATAAAATTATGTTTGTTTGTTGAAACATAAAATTATGTTTCATTAGTCATTAAAATAAATTCTTAGATATTTGTTTTTAAATCAGGTTTTCTGATTATTAATATTTTTGGGATACAAAACTTTTATTCTGTTAATAAAGTATATGATATATGAATAGAAAAAATTGGGTTTGGTATGATTAGGTGCTTATTGGTGTGGAAATGCAGGTTTGTACGGTTATATGTCTGTATTATTTATGTTGTCTTCCAAGTTTTGTATATTTGTGGAGAGTATATTGTGTTCCAGGTTAGCCTCGTGCTAAGGTGAGCTTAGGAATTTACATCATTAATATATTTAATAACTAATTTTTAATGATCTTATGCTGTTTGCACTTTCTGTATGAAACAAACCTGCAAGTACACACATGAGAGAGAAGACATTGTACACCAAGAACCATGAGATGTGTGTGTCAGGAATGGGAATGCCAGATTCTCCTTATTTGATACTTTAACACTGGGGGGAACACCTTCATGTTGGGGTATTAATATATTTTTCATATTTATTTGTAAAATGTAATTAAAATACCAAAGAAATGCAGCAGTGATAGTATGAAAGAATAATTATAAGTACATTAGCTGGAAATCACTGTAGTATGTAGTATTTAATTCTATGGTTTTTGTTGAATCTCATTTTCACTTCAGTTGTAGAAATAAAAATTATCCAGAATTGTAATTAGAACCTGTAGAGTAACCTTGGCTGATTTATTATTATTATTACAGTATTAAGGTGCACTGGCATTCCTAATATGGGATGGGATGCTCTCAAGTTGTCAGGTCATCACATGTATCAGGTGTCTTTTTACTCCATTTTCCTTACAAAGCAGTGAATTAAACTTGTACATCATTTCTAAAATAGAGTGCTCTTATTTTGGTGAATATCATATGTTGATGACAGCCATATTGTTTTGACAGTTTTATAATAAGCTGAATGAATGAGAATGTAGGAGTTTCATTAGAAATTCCAGTGATATAAACAGAATGTCTCAGTCATTGGATACCTTATTTCTTTAAACATTTAATCACACTGCATTAGTGTGATTATATTAGTGTAGGTATAGGTAGTTATTACAATACAGAAATAAATTTTCTTATTTTTTGTTAATAGCTTTGTAGCAGAGCAATTCATTCCATGAAGTTTATTATATAAGCTTTGTGTGTCATTATATACTTCCTTACAACCTTAAAAGTATTGTATTAGTAATATGCATATGATTTATTTGTAGGTAAATATGGCACTTAATCAGAGTTGACTCCAGGTTTTATGGAAGAGATTTACTGTGGAGTACTTTAAATGCAAGGGAAAAAATATATATTAACTGGTTTTACACTGAACATTTGCCTGTATATGCAGGTATATACTCTAAAATATGGCTTTAATTGGCTGTGAAAAAACATCACAGTAACACTACCAAAAGAATAGCTATGGTATGGGAAAGTGATAAGGTCTAGTTTAGAAAAAATATGATAAGGCTAATTTTATTTTGAGGCTGATGAAATATGAGGTGTCTAGGGATGAATCCTGCCTTAAAACATGTAGTTGACTGTAATCTGATGAGCAGGATAGCGAGGCATTATTCTCATAAGCACATCATTTTGTTATGTTTCTTACCATACAAAGTTTGTTCTTTGTATTTTGGTTTAAGATGCACTGTTTTATCATGCTACATCTGCATGAAAAAGCTGAAGTGCAAATTTATTTTTGATACGTTGACTTGAGTTCTTACTTTCCTTTTTTGGTTGGAAAGCATTGTGATACTTCGGTCACAAAATTTAGTTTTTAATGTGTAGGTGAGTACCACTATCAGCTGCAGATCATATAAAACTTAATTTTAAATTTCATAGAAATTTAGCATGATGTAAAAGTTTGATTTGAATGAGAAGAGCACAAATCAACCATTCAATTTCATCAATGTAAATGTAGTACAAGGTATTAAACAATTAATATTATACCACTATGTGGATGACCTGACAATGAGGGAAGGAATTTCAGTTTCAGCTTGAAATGGTTATAAAATGGGGCTTCAGTGTGTTAAGCCAGCTATATGTATACAATGTAATTATGAATTTGTTTTTTATATTCAGTTTATATTTATTAATTTTACTATCAGTATATTTTCTGATACTTTCATATATGTTCATGGTAAAATCCTGATGTTTTGCTATAGACTACTCTAATTTCTGGAATCAAATTTTGTATCCGATAGAAAACAACTCTTTTTGTTCTTAATTGGAATTTGAGTTAACAGATTTAAAATAAATATTTGAGTGAATCTATAGCAAGTGTATAATGATTGTTACTTACACTTATGTAGTAAAGTGCAATTTAAAGCCATTCAGTTGCCTCAACGAGAATTAATATACTCTGTGCAACTTTTCAAATTAAATATAAATCTTTCACAAGTTAAATATAAAATGTACAGACTTGTAGAGGTAACAGTTTGATTTTAACCATGTGTTAGCGATTTTAGGTATTGCAAGTTAAATTCAAACCTACATTTGCACTAAATTTAAGTGCACCTAAAATATCTTAGGTTTAATATTTTCATATGCAAGATGAAATGCCGAGTCTTCTTGAAATACTTGATTTTCCTCAAAAATAATTTTAAGTAGGTTCAGTTTGTGTTATTTGATGCAGCTGTGTCAGGTATAGGTTAGGTTATGGCTCTGTATGGGGTATTGCAGAGCTAGAACAAAGTGAGTTTATTTTCCAAATGAGTTTTTATATCCCAAGTCTGCTAATCACCATACAAAATTCATGATTTTCCATAAATTTAGAGGCGCAAAATCTCACAACTTCATGGAAATGTATACAAATGCCCTAGATTTCTAACAATTTTGTCTGATATAATAGATCTTTAAAGTTATTGTCCAAGTAATCTTACTTCAAAATAATATTTGATACAGTAAGCCGCCTACAAAATATTGTCTGATACAGTAGACAAGCTAAAAAAAAATCCAAGAAAATAGATCCGCTATAAAGTATTGTATTAATATAAATATATTCCCTAAAATATAAAATTAAGATTTTATCAACTACTTTCTGTGTAGAGCCCCTCCAGCTCCCCAAAGATATGCCAGGCTGATATTTATGTATTAGACCATTGCATCAGTCAATTCGAATAGAGTTCTAGCCTACCGGGGACCATGAGCCAGAACCTAGCCCCCCCCCACCTCAGAGAGGCTTGAGGAGCAAAGGCCTAATTTGGTAGATGGTAGACATAAAATGATTTCAACCACATGGGAGTTTCTAAATCTAAGAAACTCCCATGTGGTTGAAAGCATTTTATGTCTACCATCTACCAAATTAGGCACCCAGAAAGGTAGGCATCCCAAAACAGACCCCAACTGGTGAAACATTGCTGCTTAAAACCAAACTCTCCAATCTTAAAAACAAGCAAATATGCATGATGTTACACCCACCACAGTGCTGCTTGTCTGCACAGTTACCCCCTCCCCAGGAGGGGGAAGGGGGAGACCCAGACCCTGTGCCGACTATCCACCCTCAGTTCTGAGGCTGATATGTTGAGTGGCGGTCATTCAACTCTGGCTCCTGTCTCTGAGCAGTGCTGTACCTTGTGATGGTTGTCTGCTTCCACCAGAATTTACTCCTGTGTGAGCCAGGAGTAAATTCAGAAGTACAATGTGTCCTCGCTTGAACGAACTATATGGGGTGAAGCCGATTCGTTCCAGTGCGGAATTCGTTCCATCTGTCCAGCCCCAACAACCTTTCCCACAATAAAGGAAAAAACAAAACAAAAAATACTACCACATTAATTATTACATATGCCAATACACATTTGTCTTATGAAAAATTGCATCTGACTCACAAAGTGAGTCCTTGCTAGTGCTGGGTGCTGGTTCTGTAAGCCTACTGTGAACCGTATCAAAAACTTCAGAATTTTAGTTTGTTTCTTTGTTTTGAGCTTCTACATGGTAATATCTTTCATGCTCTTTAGGTGTAGATGTAGTCTGCCAGCTCATCATCATCAGTTACAGCAACCAAATCAAACAGATCATTAACCTTTTGCAATGATGCAGCATATGGAATGGGTAACAAGCTATCATGTTCCTCTTCCACATCCTCATCAGTATTACCAGTAATACACTGGATAATCTCATCATCATTTAATTAACCATAACCTGGATCATCAGCATCATCATCTAACCACTCAGTCATATCAGAAAATTGCAAATCTTCCTCACCAGCATCTCTTAATGTCTCAAAAATTGTATTTTCAAAGCCCTCAAAATCATAGTCATCTCCATTTAGAT